CACAGACGTCTGCATAAATTAGCATACTGGATGGGACATTTCAAAAAATAAACTGGAAAATCGAATGTAATACAAACCCATTATGATAGATAAACATTTATCACATGTATGCTTATACACGAATAAAACATTATCGTACCAAATACTAGAAGTAAAACTGGCACTTTTAACGCATTAAAATCACAACAAACGGGGATTGACCAGATGTAGAACGCCTAATGGAATAATGAGGGGAACAAGGAATTTCAGGAAATCGGTTCTCTTAGAGAGCATTGATCCTCTTTTCTTGTTCGTCGAGTTGAGCTCGGATTTCGGCTGGAAGATCCGGACCAATCTGAAAATTTAAACGCTTAGAAAATGTTTTCTTCGTATTCTTCGGAACTTATGAGGTATAACTGAGAGTAGCTGCAATCCAAAGTCAGAGTCGATCACATTCTTAAGCTAAAGATCAGTTTTCGGAGTAAGTGCGAACGTTGGAATCTCGCTTAGCGTCTCGATATTGAAACGTAAGAACAAACTGGTTCATTACTTGGTTCTCAAAGAAGGTGCGCACTTCCTTGGCATCTTCCTTCCAATAGTCTGCCGGAATACTCATCAGTTCCTTTGTATTAATATCCGAAAGACCCGTAAGATTGATCGACCCCTCAGCCGGTACAATGCCAACAGCCGTCTTAACGCCGATCGCTTCATCGCCATCACATCGTCGTAAAATCCAATCCAGCACTCGAATATTGTCACCGTAACCAGGCCATAAGAATTTACCTTCGGCCGACTTACGGAACCAATTCACATGGAAAATTTTAGGCACCTGAAAGATTTTGGCATGTAGTCATACCATTTGTTAGCATTATCTTAACTTTCATCCTCCTTCCAAAAATATATCGACCGACATATAACTGTCCACCGTCAATATATGTTCTTAATGGAGGATCCTCGAGTACTTTTGTCTTCATTCATGCCTCCAATGTTACTCAATAAACCGGTCCAATCTCGATGAGAGAATACTATGCCATCGTCTTTGAAAGGCGATTCAGAACTAAACCCTAGACCGTGACAGAACGTCCGTCTCTAAAATAACGCATATTGAAATCAAATAAGATGAAGAATGCAACTAACTTTGTGTCCCTTTTCCAAGTTGACCCAATGTTGCAAGTATTTCCCAAAGTTGTATCCCATGAAGGGACGCATAGCCATCGGGTCGTGCATAACCTTCTTACCTTT